TTCTTTATTTTTGGCCAATTTTTGTACACTTGTCATCTTTATCAGCCATATTATGAAGGAAAACAGAGACTTGTGCTAGAAGTAGAGCATTAACTGTGCCATATCTGTGTGTGTATTAATTAGCATTTTCTTCTGTATGTGATTTCTTATATTGCTAAGTCAGTTCATTTTGTAAGGCTTAGTTTTGTTTGACGCTGGATAGTTTAATCTGTGTATTTGTTTCAGGAGGCACCTTACAACTCAAGATATGGTATTTAGACTGAGTCATGATGGCAGAGTCAACCTCAAATCTGTTCTAAATGAGAATTCTGTTGGTCCATCCAACACACTTTGTAGACTACTGTTCTAGATACACAGTATAAGTATGTATTATCTGATATAAAATTTAATATAAACAATGTTTTCTCAACTTACACAGGAAAAAAATTATTGCTGAATGAGAAGACTATATTGATTAATAAATAATTAATACTTAATCTATAATATTTATAATTATAGATGATAGTATCATCTATAATAAATAAGACTATTTTGAGTGGTATACTTTATTTAAAAATCTCATGGAAGGACCAGCATGTGGCATGGTTGGTTAAGCCACTGCCTGCAACACTGACATCTCATGAGTGCCACTAGTTCAAACCCCAGCTGCACAACTTCAGAACCAGCCCCCTGCTAAAGCCACCTGGGAAAGTAGATGGCCCAAGTACCTAGGCCCCTGCCCACCCCTGTGGGAGACCTGGATGGAGTTCCAGGCTCCTGGCTTCAACTTGGCCCAGCCCTGGTCGTTACAACTATTTGAGGTGTAGAACAGCAGATAGAAGTTTGATGTCTCTGTCTGTCCTTCTCTCTCTCCCTGTAACTCCACTTTTCAAATAAATAAATTAAATCTTTAGCAAAAAATTTGTGGAAAATAAATGTAAAAATAAGGTTTTATTGGTGTTCAAAACTTTTGAGGTTCTATAAATAGGTTTTTGCATTTACGTGAGCTTTCGAAAGATCCTACATCTTCATGGATTGCAAAATTTCTTGCACCAAGATAAACTTACCTTTTAATAATTTTTTCTTTAGTTTTTAAAGTCTACATTTTATTCAGATTTCCCTAATTTCTACCAAATGCCCCTTTTTTCTGGTACAGAATCCCATCCAGAATACCACATTATCTTTGGTTGTCACATCTCCTTAATGTTCCTCTTTGCTGTGACAGCTGCTCAGACTTTCCTTCTTCTTTGTGATGTTTATAGTTTGGAAGAGTACTGGGCAGGTGTTTTGTAGAATTTTCATCCATTGGGTTGTGTGATACTTTTCCATGAACTCACTGGGGTTATGGGTTTGGGGGTGGGGTGCCTCACAGAGATAAAGTGCCATTTTCATTACCAGGGGACATGCTATCAGTATGACCTTTCACTGATGATATCCTCCATCAGCTGGTTGAACTGACAGTTGTCAAGTTTCTCCCTGCCCCCTTCAATATATTCTTTGGAAGGAAGTCCCTGTGCACAATAAGATGAGGTATCTTCATAAACATTTGGAGTTCTTCTGCCTGGGAGATTTGCCTATTCTCTCCCATTTGTTTATTTGATAATCTATTTCTATCACTAGGGGCGCATGGATATTTATTATCTACTTTGGGTTGTAATCCAATACTACTTTATTTTGTTGCTCAAATTTTTCCAGCACCGATAAACAATTAACTTAAATTCATGATTATGCCACATCTCATAGATAGCTTTGGAGACTAGTGGCTTCTTCAATGGCTCCTCTCTCTAACATACCACCCATTACTGTCATTTTTTTTAGCACTTTTTTTTTGTGGCACAATATACTCCAAGCCCATCTTTTTTATTTCCTGCTCAAGTCCTAGAATCAGTCTGTCATTCTCAGGAGTTCTGATTCCTTTTATTGCCTAAGATCTAGGCACTGAGTATGTTCCCATTCTAATTATTCTTTGGCCACATAACTGCTGACAAGGATGTTTCATGTTGACTGCCCTGATGAGAACGGGTGTGGGGAGCAACTCGGACTAGACTGTTACTGGAATTAAGACTTATTCTATGCATCTGCTCTCCCACGATATAGCGCTGGGAGAGGAGTAAAAACAGCTTGTACACAGCTGCCTCTCACTAACTTGACAAGCTGCAGGAGCTGCTCCTGACTGGAGGAGAGCAGTGTACTCGGCGTGTGGGTAGCAGAGTTGGGATTGGTGGAAGAGGACTATAAAGGAGGAGAGAGACAACATGCACCAGGAACATCTGTCTGAAGGAACACCTGTGCAGCCCCCGAGAGAGCCGGCCGGCGGTGTGCCGCTCCCCCGCGGAAGTGGGGAAAGTGGCAGGGGGAACCGCCCTTCCACGGAGGTGGAAGGGACGGTAGCCAACCCGGGAAGGACCAGCAGCAAACCCGGGGAGGGCCGAGCAGACAAAAGAACAGCTCAGGGTTTAGTGTCCTTCCTCCGTGAAGAGGGGGAGCGACAAACGGGCATTTCAGCAGAAGTGCTCAGCTGTAGAAAATAGGAATCCCTTAAATTACTTTGTCTTGCAAAAACAGGTGAGTCTAAGCATTAAAAAACCCCACAAATTATTTTCATTATAAACTAACTAAGACAAACCAGTATGTTTGCAGTATTATATACCAATCCCACATAGTTACAGAACTGCAGAAGGATCCTTGGAATAACAAAGTCATTTGTTTGGCATTGTCAGAGAGAATATTGATAGTTTCTTCACCTTTGCCACGTAACAGGTACTGCATGGTACGCTCCTGAAATTCATCCATGGTACTGAAGATATCCTCATGCCTGGCTATTACATGATGACAATTCTTACACAGATGATCATAGATATTCTCCATCTTCCACTTTCAAGCATAACATCCCACTTCCTACACACTATTCAGCAAGAAAGATCCATCCTCCAGACAAGTGTTACCCGAATGCAATATTTCTTCTGTACACATCAGGACACCAGTAACAGGGAATGTCCTCCACTGCTTCCTACCTTTAGTAATTGTCTACAAATGTATTCTTCTTCTTAGTCTTTGTCTTATTATAATTATCATTTAAACAAGAGGCAAGGCAATAAGGAGACAAACACACACACAGAAAGAGAGGGATGGGGGAGGGAGAGAGAGAACCATTATCTGCTGGTTCACTCCCCAGGTACACTCAAGGGACAGGGTGGAGGCTGAAGCTAGGAGCTGGGAATTCAATCCAGGTCTCCCATGTGAGTGACAGAAACCCAGTTACTTGGGTCATTACTACTGCCTCTCAGAATCTGCATTGTCAGGAAGCTGTAGTTATGAGGTGTAGCTAAGAATTGAACCCACGTATTCTAATGTGAGACATAGGCATTCAAACTAGCATCTTTTTTTTTTTTTTTTTTAAGATTGTTTAGTTATTTGAAAGGCAGTGTTCTAGAAAGTGAGAGAGAGAGAGAGAAGTCTTCCATCTTCTGGTTCACTCTCCAGATGGTTATCCGAATAGCCAGAGCTGGGCCAATCCAAAGCCAGAAGCCAGGAGCTTCTTCCAGATATAGGGGCTCAAGCACTTGGGCCATCCTCCATTACTTTCCCAGGTACATTAACAGGGAACCAGATTGGAAGTGGAGCAGCTGAGACTCAAACTGGCACCCATATGGGATGGTGGTGACAAAGGTAGTGGCTTTACCCGCTATGCCTAGTGCCAGCCCCCCAAATTAGCATCTTAACTACTAAACTGAAAACCCACTTTGTCACTCCCCCATTCGCGGAGGAACGACACCGGACCCTGCGCTGTTCTTTTTGCCCGGCCCTTTCCCAGGTTTGCTGCGTTCCTCCACTCGCGGAGGAACAACGCTGTCCCGGGTTAGCTGCCAGCACCCCCCCCCCGCCCCGCCCCTGCGGAGGAGTGGCACACCGCCGGCCGGCTCTCTCAGGGGCTGCTCAGATGTTCCTAGTGCATGCTGGCTCTCTCCTCCTTTATAGTCCTCTTCCACCAATCCGTGCTCTGCTGCCCACACGCTGAGCACGCTGTCCTCCTCCAATCAGGAGCAGGATCAGCTCCTGCAGCTTATCAGTCAAATTGGCAAGGCAGCTGTGTAGAAGCTGTTTGCTCTCTCAGCGCCATATTGTGGGAGATCAGATGCATAGAATTAGTCCTAGTTCCAGTAATTCAGTCTAGTCTCAGTTGCTCCCCATACCACTTCTCTATGAACTTTTTGAAGTACCCTTGTGTGTGTGTATATATATATATATATACCTTTGACTCAGAAATTCAAATTGTATTTTCAATGTTTCAAACTTCTAAGTAGTGAAAGTTAAATTTGTATACATCTAAATATTTATTCATCTGTACTTGTTGAGGAATATAATATATTACACATTAATTTTGATTATTTCATCTATTATACTTAGCATTATTTTTCCTTAGGAAGACTCTAAATGTGTTGAAATCTCTGTATATGACCCTTTCTGAAGCCTGTATTAATTTCTTATTCCATGAACTGGTCGTTAGGAGCTATTAAAATTTTGTCTGGTATCTCTACTAATCTTTGGGAATTTTATTAATGTAGATTAAAAATGTTTAATTGTTTACAGGCAAGAGTAACCAATCTTTTAAAAATATGGATAGTTGAGCAAAGGAAAGATGATTTATTCATTGTGCCTTATGTTTTAATTGATTTGGGGATGAATTTGCATTTCCTTTGATAAATGTTTATCTTAATCCATGGCAAATACTTTTCCTTTCAACTGCTTTTAATAAATATTAGAGTAGTCATATTTTCAAGTGATATAAGGCCTCCCTATTTGCCTGCCAGGCTCCTGTCAGGCTCTACGTTGAATAATAAGCAGATAATTTTAAAAATATATATTGAGTCAGTTTTGACTAAAAGATTCTTGAATTTTGGTTGCCCTGAGCTGTGTGGTTATGCAGTACATTCCTTTGTTCTTTTTCTGTGGAGTGTTTCTTTTTCAGGATTATTATATAATAAATATATTACAAAATTAATTGGATATTATTTTTCTAGGCAATGAGTTGTTCTCTTCTGCCATTCAGCAGGTTTTGTGGTATGGTTCGTATCATGAGACAAAACCATTTTCTGAAAAATATTTATTTGTCATTAACTCAAGCAGACTGAATTGGCATGCAGCTCACTAACTTTCATAATGGCTTTTTGGTATTTGTACTGAACACATTTTTCATGTATTAAATTTATCTTAGAGTTTTAAAATGTGTTTTCTGAAGTAAATCACATCAACATAAATAAATCTGTCTTCAAAAATAGAAAATATATTTTAATAAATTAATATTTGCTTGATTTACAAAAGGGATCCCCATAGTTGTATTTGAATATTTGGGACTTCCTCATGCTTATGATGACTTTCCAAAAGCAGAAAGAGCTCCAAACTGTAGATGGACAGGCTCAACAGCTGGTGGTCAGATTGACTGCCCTTCTCTGTTTTTTGCCAGTGTGCCTGTGCTTCATTTCCATGACCATATACAAGTATGGCTACTGCAATCTGCATTTCTCCCACTCCTGGTTTTTTGGACTTTGATTTTGTGTCTGTGATACCAGTTTTCAAAACACCAACAGCATCCTGGGTAGCAGAGAATAACATGAACTATTTGTTATCTACACTATAACTTTGTTATACTATAGCACAACATTTGTTATCTGCACTGTCATGAATTTTCTTTGTGTGATAGATTTGAACCATTTGTCCCTCTAAGTTTGACATATTAAGATACTTCAAAAATTTATGGAAGGAGGCCGGCGCCACGGCTCAACAGGCTAATCCTCCACCTTGTGGCGCCGGCACACCGGGTTCTAGTCCCAGTTGGGGCACCAGATTCTGTCCCGGTTGCCCCTCTTCCAGGCCAGCTCTCTGCTGTGGCCAGGGAGTGCAGTGGAGGATGGCCCAAGTGCTTGGGCCCTGCACCCCATGGGAGACCAGGATAAGTACCTGGCTCCTGCCTTCGGATCAGTGCGGTGCGCCGGCTGCAGCGCGCCAGCCACGGCAGCCATTGGAGGGTGAACCAACGGCAAAGGAAGACCTTTCTCTCTGTCTCTCTTTGTCTCTGTCCACTCTGCCTGTCAAAACAAAAATTTTTATGGAAGGAAGGAATTAAAAGATAATGCACATTTTCCATGAACTTTCTGAAGATCCTCTTGAGTAACATTTATTCTTCCTGACCAATTTTTAGTGGAACAAATCATGAAAACAGTTATATCAAACATTTATCAATAAAATGGTCAGGAAGTTCAGTATGCTGTCAAAGCACAGTTAGGAAAAAAGCATTTAATCTAGACCTTGGAGGTGGGGTTGGATGGGGGTCAATCAGAGAAGACTTCCTGAACCTTAAGGATTAGTAGGACTCAGCCAAGAAAAACAGGTGAAACTAAGTGTGAACAACACGGAGGAAACAGCTTGTAGAAAGCCCTGCAGGCTACGTGCTAAAAGATGTTTAGGATCACTTGGCCCTAGAGTTTGAGTTGAACAATATAAATAAGGATGAAGAGGTAACCAGATTTCCTCCGGCCTTCCCAAGGAGTGTGGACATTGTCTTAAGAGCAGGAAAGGCTCTTTGGAATTTAATCAAAGGGTTCAGATTCTCATATTAAAAAGATCATTGTGGCTGCAGGGGAGAGAAAGATTATGGGGGCTCAGTGGAGGTAGGGAGGCCAGGAGGCTGTTGAAACGTTCTGCATAAATTATTAGTAATGACTTTTGCTTGATAAGGCCATGGTGATAAGGAAAATTAGCTCATTTGAGAGTTAAAGAGGTAAGTGGACAGAACTTGGAGGCAGGTCAGGTTGAAGGAGCAGTCATTAGGGGGATGATAAGTACATTGCCTGCTTTCCTAGCATGAGGAAACAGATAGAAGGGAATGCTGCTAAACTAAGGAACAGAGCATTGATTCCCTGCAGATTTGAGAGCTGAGTTGTTCAGAAGGATCATTTCAGTTTTGGATGTTGTATATTGTGAGTGTCTGTGGATTGTCCAGGTAGAATTATCTGGTAAACAGTTGAATATATAGACTTGATCAGAGTAAGAAATAATTTGTTCATTCTTTTAGCAAATATTTCCTGAGCTCTTCTGTGTGCTGGAATTATTTTTTAAGTATTAAAGGTATAGCAGTAAACAAACAAACAAACAAAACACAACAACCCAAGAAGATAGCCCTGTCCTCACAGATGAATTTTACAAAGTGGACAGACAATAAACATGAAAATAATATCAGATAGCCATAGTACACAGAATGTGATGAAACAGGATGATAATCTAGAGGCAGGTAGGAAGTAAGATCAGATAGGTGGCTAGGGATGCTTTCTAAGGAAGTGATCAGTGATAAAAAGGAAATAACTGCTAAAAGTCAAGAGAAAACATTCAAGGAGAGAGGAGCATGTGTTCTGAAGTCCCAGTGGCCTTAAGGACCCACTGAAATCTTAATTCCAGTTTGTACCCCATGTTTTTGTCACCCAAGGCTATTGGGCCACCCTAGAGTGAGTATAACACAACATCTTTTGTTAACTATTTTGAGAGTGAATGGAAAAAACAAAAGACACTCAAACTCATCTCTTCCTCCTTTTCTCCTTTGGGCTGTTTCATCTCTTGTGAATTATATATCTTATGCAGTCTGTGATTCTCAACCTGGTACTGAAACAAAGTATTCAGAATATTTCCTCAATTGTGTTGAATTAATGCAGATTAACTTTATTTCAGCCCTTTGTGTTTCCAAATGTGTATTAGTACCTCCTTAAATGTGCCTCTTGTTTCCCACCATGTTAAGTTCAGATCCTAAAGTGTTCTGATCTATTTCCCCGTACTATTAGCAGTAAAAACCCAATGGAAGACAGAGATACAAACAGACCTTTGATAATTCTTTATTTAAGGCCCAGCTCGGCACTTGGCAAGAATCTCCAGTAGGAATGAAGCACTAGCGTTAAACCTCACAGCACTTTATAGGATTCAAAAGATTCCTCCTGCTTGAGGAGCTCCTTGAAAAAGCAATTCCTGTGTCATAGTAGTAAACCCTGCATTAGGCAACACACTAGAATGTGTGCTCCACTTTGGCTTTCTGGTGAATGTTCCAGTGATAAAACCTAAAATCAATAACTGGTAGATTTTTCTAAAATGGTTTCTTAGCCTCAGCACTACTAACATTTAGAGTCAGATAATTCTTTGCTCTGGGAGGCTGTCTGATGCAATTAACCATGTTTAGCAGCCTCCCTGGACTCCCTGCTCAGTGGTCCTAGTGCTCCACAACTGGGACAACTGAAAATGAGTATAATTATTACCCAACGTCTCATGGGGCCAGAGTCGATCTTGATAGAGAAAACACTGTTCTAGAGGAATTCTTAGGTGTCCTTGTGAAGGAGCAGACCTCATGTTTCAAAGGTATGGCCTTCTGCTCCTTCAGTAGGCAGCAGATTGAGGGCCTGTCAGTAGAATGAGTTGCCTCTGTCATAACCTGGACCCTGAAATGATGACAGGAGAACCAGTCACTAGAACAAAGGTGAGGAACCTGTTTTCTCTCAAGGACCATTTGGGTATTTAAAACATCATTCACAGGCCATACAAAATTTTCAACTTAAGAATTAGCCTGCTAAAATTATTGGATTTCCAGTCCTGCCTTGTGGTTGCCTTGGCAGGGCCGGAGCAAATGGTTTCCTAGGCCAGATGTTCCCCACCTCTCCATAGAAAGACAGCTACCATTAGCCATGTGATATTGGTGGAGGTAATACTAGCATCTTACACTCAAATTTTATTTGTTTGCATGATGGGGAATTGAGAGGGAAGAAGGAAATATTTGAAGACTATCCTATTCTAGAGTTGGTCCAGCCAAGAATACCACTCATCATTTAATATCAGCCAAAGTATGTTTTAAGAAAACTGACAAATGATATACAAATGTATATTTATATGTACATGCATGTATATGTATATATTTAAATAGAGCTATAAGTATGTATTTATAGTGTTACAACCCTAATAATTTTTATGTTTACTGTTGTGAGATTTTGCATTTGCTTCAAATTTTTTCTGTATCAGATTGCTCTCATTATATAGTCCTTAATTTATTTTTGCCTGGTTGATTTTTTGCATGAAATGCCAGTGAATGAATTGGGGCAAAATTTTCAGCTGTTTTGGAAAAACTGATTTGCTTCTTTTGTGTTGTACTTGTAGTTAATAATATACTTCCTAATATCCTGTAGCATACAGATGTCAACCCTTTTCAGGCAATGGACCGAATGATGTTAAATATGAGAAACAGTATGCAGGAATTACAAAGAAACTTTGTAAGTACTAAAAATAAAGTGGTGAGAACTTTGATTTCAGTTACTGGTACCCAGTGTTATAGTGGCTTTCAAACATTTTTAACCACAGTTGATAATGCTAAAAAAATACATCATACAAATTGACTCATGCACAATACTTGTATACTTAACACATATACCTGAAACAAAAGTTTCATGAGAAAATTATTATACTATTTATAGTATATGTTAATTTTTAAATTTTATTTCATGTTATAAAAATCCTGGTCATTGGGCAGGTTAAGCTGCTACATTTGGGATGCCAACATCCCATATCAGAGTGCAAGTTGGAGTCCTGGCTAGTCTGCTTCTGATCCAGCTTCCTGCTAATGTGCCTAGCAAGGCAACAGCTGATGGCCCAAGTACTTGAATCCCTTCCACCCACATGGGAGACCCAGGTGGAGTTCCTGGCTTCTGACTTCAGCCCGGCCCAAACCCAGCTGTTACAGGAATTTGAGGAGTGAACCAGCAGCTGGAAGATTCTCTCTCTCTCTTTCTTTCTGTGTGTGTGTGTGTCTTTGTTTCTCCTTCTCTCTCTGTCATTCTGCCTTTCAAATAAATAAATTGATAAGTCTTTTAAAAAATATCCTGGTCATATTCCACTAAATTGATTTCACAACCTAAAGTTTAAAAAAATGACAGTAGTTAATTTTCAAAATAAAATTTTAAAAAAATTCAACATCAAAAACCTTTTTTCTGCTGGAAGTCATTCTTGCAAATTAAGACTTTATATAAATAAATCTGCATATTTCCATGTTTATAACCATAAAAGGATTTATAGCATCTAATAAATTAAGTTTTAGTATTAAGAAAAACTGAGGGCTGGCACCACGGCTCAATAGGCTAATCCTCCGCCTGCAGCACCGACACACCTGATTCTAGTCCCGGTTGGGGCGCCGGATTCTGTCCCAATTGCTCCTCTTCCAGTTCAGCTCTCTGCTGTGGCCCGGGAGGGCAGTGGAGGATGGCCCAAGTGCTTGGGCCCTGCACCCACATGGGAGACCAGGAGGAAGCACCCGGCTCCTGGCTTCCAATTGGTGCAGCGCTGGCCGTAGCGGCCATTAGGGGAGTGAACCAACAGAAGGAAGACCTCTCTCTCTGTCGCTCTCTCACTGTCTATAATTCTACCTGTCAAATAAAAAGAAAAAGAAAAAAAGGAAAAAAGGAAAAACTGAAAATAAAAATCTCAGTACTGATGTTTAGATACCAGATTAGAGCTATATAGTCAAACTGCTGTAAACTAATACTAATATTTTTACTTTTCTACTTACAATAGTTACATCAAAAACAATAACTTGATTTGACCTGAAGAAGACCAATATAATTCTAATCATCCAGTTTATATTTTCTGTGTCATCTAAGAATGCCCAAATCTAGGACTTTATTATTAATAATTATTTTATTATTTTATTTTTTAACTTTTATTTAATGAATATAAATTTCCAAAGTACAGCTTATGGATTACAATGGCTTCCCCCCCCATAACTTCCCTCCCACCCGCAACCTTTCCCTTTCCCGCTCCCTCTCCCATTCCATTCACATCAAGATTCATTTTCAATTCTCTTTATATACAGAAGATCAGTTTAGCATATATTAAGTAAAGATTTCAACAGTTTGCACCCACATAAAAACACAAAGTGAACAATACTGTTTGAGTATTCGTTATAGCATTAAATCACAATGTACAGCACATTAAGGACAGAGATCCTACATGAGGAGTAAGTGCACAGTAACTCCTGGTGTTGACTTAACAAATTGACACTCTTGTTTATGGCATCAGTAATCACCCTAGGCTCTTGTCATGAGCTGCCAAGGCTATGGAAGCCTTTTGAGTTCACCGACTCTGATCATATTTAGACAAGGTCGTAGTCAGAGTGGAAGTTCTTTCCTCCCTTCAGAGAAAGGTACCTCCTTCTTTGATGACCTGTTCTTTCCACTGGGATCTCACTCACAGAGATCTTTCATTTAGGTCATTTTTTTTTTTTTTTTTTTTTTTTTTTTGCCAGAGTGTCTTGGCTTTCCATGCCTGAAATACTCTCATGGGCTTTTCAGCCAGATCTGCATGCCTTAAGGGCTGATTCTGAGGCCAGAGTGCTGTTTAGGACATCTGCCATTCTATGAGTCTGCTGTGCATCCCACTTCCCATGTTGGATCGTTCTCTCCCTTTTTTATTCTATCAGTTAGTGTTTTCAGACACTAGTCTTGTTTATGTGATCCCTTTGGCTCTTAGTCCTATTATGATGATGAATTGTGAACAGAAATTGATCACTGGGACTAGTGAGATGGCATTGGTACATGCCACCTTGATGGGATTGAATTGGAATCCCCTGGTATGTTTCTAACTCTACCATCCCAAAGGGACAAATATTATATGTCCTCCCTGATCGGTGACAACTAACTGAGCACCAAAAAGGAAACCTGTTAAAGTGAAATGAACACTATGAGAAACGGTGACTTGATCGGCCCTTGTCCTGACTGTTGATGAACAACTTAATACGTTATCCCTCTTAGTATTTTTTTTTGTTTGTTCTACTTAATACTTTTGGTTGAATACTGTAATCAATACACAGTTATTCTTAAGTGTTGCAACTTAACTGAAAAGTGATCGCTGTTAAATATAAGAGTGGGAATGAGAGAGGGAAGAGATATGCAATTTGGGACATGCTCAAGCTGACTTGCCCCAAACGATAGAGTTAGAAACATACCAAGGGATTCCAATTCAATATTAGTAATTTTAATAATAGAGCAATCCAATATTCACTGGAGATACGAAACTTGTTGGCATGTAGCCAGATGACTTACACTCAGGGGTCAACCACTGATTGTAGAAGTATCACAGGTTTCAGGGCATAGTATGTTTATTTAAATCTAAGCCACAAAGACTTACAGATCTCTGAGCGAAGCACTTATTATTCCTTACAAAGAGAATGGGAATTGGTACCTAAATGGAAGAAGATTAGAGCTATGTGCCATTTGGATACACCATATTGGTAGTGTGGTATCCATAGTAGAATTTATAGCTAGCTTTGTTACTTATTTGAACCATCTGGTATAACCCTTTATATTTGACTAGATTCCAAATTTACAATTTCTGTTTACCTCTAGGGTAATCTTTCATTGGATCCACATGGACATTCATTCTGTTCTTCTTCGGTGATGACTTATTCCAAAGTAGGGGATGAACCACCAAAAGTTTTCCAGGCCTCAACCCAAACCCGCAGGGCTCCAGGAGGAGTAAGTATTTTCTAAGTATTCTTTAAGGTTCATAAAGTTGTGTGATGATAAATTGTCTATGTGAAATTTTAATTATTAAAATTTGATCTGGTTCAAGCTGAGGGGGGAGAGAGGAAGAGGCAACTGTAAGGCAGTCATCACTGTGAAAGCCATTAAAACTTAATTTTTGTCCCCTCCACCATGAGGGTGCCGTTTTTCATGTAGACACCTCTTGATGTTAATTGCCTTTCTACGTTTACAGGGTAAATAGACACTAAAAGAATCCTTTGTTTTTTGAAATGTCTTTAGTTTATACTTGAAGGTTTTTTTAAATTCATGAAATACATACCTCAAGTGTATAAAAAGAATAGAGAAAATAATGAGATATAATGAATACCCACATTCCTACTACCCCATTTAATCAAATTATAATAATATCCTCTGTTTGCCTCAAGTTATCTCCTGTTGTTTCCTTTTAATCAAAAATATTCCAGATACTGTTAAAGTTTCTAGTGCACTCCTCCAAGTCCTTTTCCCTTTCTCACTCCCTATTTTCTGTGTCTGTAGTTCATCATCCTCACGTCATGTCTGCTTTACAATTTTATTTCTTTATATATACATCATAAAAATACAGTTGGTTATTTTGTATTTTTTTAGGATGTATTTATTTATTTGAAAGGCAGAGACTTATTTACAGAAAACAGGAGACACAGGGAGTGAGGGAGGGAGGGATGGGGGGGAGACAGAGAGAGAGAGAGAGAGAGAGAGAGAGAGAGAATCAATTTTCCACTATTGATTCACTCCTCAAATGGCTGCAGTGGCCAGAGCCAGGCCAGTCTAAAGCCAGGAGCCAGAAGCTTCTTCTGGGTCTCCCACATGGGTGGCAGGGCCCCACATACTTGGGCCATCTTCCACTGCTTTCCCAAGTGCATTAGCAGGGAGCTAGGTTGGAAGTGGAGCCGCCTGGACTCAAGCCAGTACTTGAACTAGCACTCATATGTGATGCTGGCATCACTGGCAGCAGCTTTACTCACTTCACCACAATGCCAACCACAGGTGTTTAGATATTATAAAAAGGTATCATATGGCATGTGTCTTCTGAAACTTGCCTTTGCTCCATAACATGCTTCAGAGATTATTCAAGTTGATACTTGAAACCCTGGTTTCTTTGTTTTAACTTCTGTACTGGTATCCAAAATATGAATATTTCACAAATTTTTTTGCCCATTTTTCTATTGATAGATATTTGAGTCTGATTTCTCACCAATTCATCCTTATGCAGATTAGTCTAGAAAAGAGTCTAGGAATGATACCACTGGTTAAAGGGTATGTGTACCTTCATCTTTACCTAGAAATTGCCCAATTATTATCCCACAGTGATTAAAACTGTTGGCTTCCACAGATCCTGTTGTATGAGAGTTCCCATTTCTCTACTTTGTTGTTAGTACTTATAATAAAATTTTAGGTTTATCAGATTGAGTGTGAAGTAGTTCATTTTTTAGTTCTTATATATAAACATGGACTTTTTAATGATGCTTTTACTGCAGATCAGCTAATTCAGCATGGATATTTTAAGTTGCTAAAAGTAACAAAGTCTTAAATATAAACAACATAACTATAGCTATCCTATAGCAAATAGTGTTAATAATATTTGGCTGTTATACATACTTTAATAACACTTTCATAGAGTTGATAGAAGTTGATGATGAGACTCAATCCTGTCAACATGACTGTTGGAATTAGCTGCTCTTACTCATAGGGATGCTAGCGCAAACTTGCACCTATTACATTTTCAAAGACAGTGTTAAACGCAGTGAGTTTACATAGTAAGTTCTTTGTCTTAATTATTTGATTACAATTTAGAGAAAAGTTAAAATTGTATTGGTTCTATCTGCCCTGGACATTCTCATTTTTAACAGTTCAGGAAACAGCAGACCTATTATCACAATTTTACTGCAAGTTGATAGTGGAACTATGCCCATTATCTTTATAGCAGTAGATTTATGGTCTTCTTTAAGAGGTGAACAGGTCCTGTGGAATTTAGAATTATATTTCTTCCATATATATTTAAATAATAACTAAATCATTTTTATTTTCTTTTTACAGATAAAGGAAACCAGAAGAGCAATGAGAGATTCTGACAGTGGACTAGAAAAAATGGCTGTTGGACACCATATCCATGACCGAGCTCATGTCATTAAAAAGTCAAAGAACAACAAGACTGGAGATGAAGAGGTCAACCAAGAATTCATAAATATGAACGAAAGTAAGTTAATAGTGTTCTTTCTTGTAAAGGTAAAAAAGCAACTACTTGTAAAGTTGATTCATATTTTTGCAGAAACATTTCATAAGATGTAGTTTATAAATAAATAAAAATGTGTTGGGAATACCTTTTAGAGTAATAAAATTGAGATTTCATCAATTCATTGCAAATCTGTTTTTCACAGTGACTTTTTATAGTGTAAGATATTTATTTTTCTTGTTTTATAATTGGGAAACAATCTTGAATTATTATTTAGTAATACTGTGAATAGACAAAATGAGTTTGTAAATATTTTTTCTGATTTTCAAGGAAGTACTTTTGAAAAGTATAAAGAAGAAAATAAAAATCATCCATAATCCCAACCCAAAGTGACAGCAGTAATGTGTTAGTGTTTTGTTTCTAATGGGTTCATGTATAGATAAACACACATACCTTTATCAAATTAACATGTTACTATCTATGTGGTTTGCATTGTGCTTATTTTAACTTACCTTTTTAATTATAAACAGCTGCCTATTATGATGTTATTTTTCAAAAACATTCTAGATGGCTATGTGAAAGTTTTATCATGAGGGGCAGGCATTTGAAACAGTAGTTAAAATGTCATTTGTGATGCCCTTAATTCTATATCAGAGTGCATGGGCTCCAGTCCTGGCTCCACTTTGGATTATACCTTTCTGTTAATACATACCCTGGGAGGTAGGTAGTAGGTACTACCAAGTACTTGATTACCTGCTCCCCATGTGGGAGACCCAAATTGAGTTCTCAGCTCCTAGCTTCTGCCTGGCCCAGCCCTAGATGTTATGGGCATTTGGGGAGTGAACCAGAGGATGGAAGATCGATCCCCCTCCCATCTTTCAAAAAATTAAGATTAATTTTTAAAAATAAAAATAAAAGTTTTACCATGTTTATGCCATAATTTATTTAAGCTATTCTGTATTTGGGGGCACTTAGGTTTCTATATATATAAGATTTTAATTTCTTGTATGTTATTTAGAGTATATAGATTTCATATTAATTTTTCAATACATTTAAGTCTTTCTGATATTCTAATCTCTTAGATTATACTGAAATATATTAACAGATTTAAGCAACAAATTAAATCAATTTGTATTAATTTTATGTTAATAAATATTAATAATTAAGTTTTTGTGTTTAAAATAAATTTAATTATTAGTGGAATTCTATTAAAATATTGTTATCAATTTCCTGTTTTCAGAAAGCATTTTCAATAATGTTTTATCATAGTAAAGGATTTATTATTTTAGAAAAATTCTATTAAGATTGAACTTTGATAAAATTATTCTTTAGCGATAAGGTAGAAGTCACAATATCATGACATTAATTATATAATCTTTGTAATTTTATCATATTTAAATATATACTTGAGTACTTCACAGTAATTAACATGGAAAAAATTTTAATGAAGAACTATATTATTATAAAGGCAATCTAAAAAACAAGCACCGTTATCTATTATTGCTGATTTGGAAGTTAGATTGCCTACTTTGTGACAATGTAAATTGACAGTTGAGTAACCGTTATTAGGAAAGCTTGTGAGGTCAAGTTATAAAGGGAGATGGTGAGGTGAGTATGAGTACTAGCCATAGGAGTGTCCAAGTATACAAGCACAGCTTTGTCTCTATGAGGTGACCTGAGGAAAGATTATCTGTCAGCGTAAACTAGGTCACCTGGTCCATTGGGTAGAATAATGTGATATCCAGGCAAGTGAATGGAAAAAAGGCAGACCATTAATAGAAATAGGAGTGGAATAAACAGGAAAACAGTTAGTACCCCAATCAAAGATTTTTGTATTTGAAGCAGCTTTCTGCATCTATGTTGAACTTAGGCTGATGAAAAACACAGGTTAGCATGAAGTGTATGGGAAGCAAGGCTTTCTGAAATCGATACCTTAATACTCATTCTTTGTATTTTAATATTTATTGTAGGTGATGCTCATGCTTTTGATGATGAGTGGCAAACTGAGATTTTGAAGTACAAACCCGGGGGACGATGGCGCAATGTTGAAAATGCTAAAATGCGCAGTGTTGGTCATGAGAAGAATCCAGGATCCCTAGAACTTAAAAGAAGGTATATATTATTTCTATACTAGTTTTTCTAAGAATTAGACTAAAATGTACAAAATATCTCTTATCAGGAATTTTTGATGAGCACACAAGTTGTAATGGTAATACATTTTTCTTAGATGTAAAGGTTTTACTTAAATTTGAGTATTCCACACAAATTTAAATTTTCATCTAAAAAGCTTTAGGTTTGTATGGTGAGTAATACACTTGAAAATTATGCTTCAAATGATAGTGACCAAAATCCTCCTAAGGAAAACTGATAGACTATAACCCAGTTATTCTTGTGAACCAGATTCTAATGTGGATATAGGTAGTCATACGTTTCACACCAGGAAAAGTTACTTATGTCTAGAGATAGGAAAAAGGGACAGGGGCTGTATTTAGAATACTTAACTGCCATATCAAGTCAAACTTCAGCATTTAGTGGTAAATGAATTTTTAGACACTTGTATAATATGAATAGGTAACAGTCCATACAACACTGCATTTCATGTATATTAGATATTTTGTAACAGTTTTGCAAAAGCTTTAGCGTCCTTTTGGACTAGCTGTGAAAATTAAATGTGCTGAAACCACATAGTAGAGATTGCAGGCATTTTTATACATACAGAACATAGTCTAGAGCTATAATTTAATTTGGTTCTCTAGTGAAAAATTGACAAAAAAGTTAATTCCTATTGAAATTACATTTGAGAGAGAGAGAAAGAGATGAAAGAGAGGCCTTCCCCCCAGGCCATAAAACAGAAATCTGTTCTAGGCGATAAGGAAGTGGAGGATTGCTGCAGGAGCTGGAGGCTTCACAGACCCAGCGGTGGACAAGTGGGTATCCGTTAAATCAGAAGCCTCGTCTAGAATTTCATGTGCTAGCATCTTTTCTTTTTAAAATACTTGTTAGGAACTTAGAAATCTAGTATTTCTTATTGAATGGCTGGAAAAGTTGTTCCCATATTAGTTTTAGTTAATATTTGGCTCACTTGGAAAAATATGTTGGTTAAAAACTAGAAAGTGCTAAATTTGAATATGAAATCCACTCTTAGTAAGAGAAAGCATACTCTTTAGGGATGACTTCCAAATTGATGGCCCTAACAGTGGTGTTTTTCCTCTTAACCAATCTGTGCAACAGCATTTTCTGAAATGGTTTTCTGCAGCGATGTATTATTCTGCCCAATACAGTAACCATCAGCCACAGGTGGCTATGGAATCACACTTCAAATGTGGCTGTTACAGCTGAGTACTGAATTAAATAATTTTGAACAAAATAAATAAAAATATGGCTCATGGCTACCATATATAACAGCATGGTTTAAACTCTACTTAAAACTGTCTCAGATAGCTATTGCTATCTTAAATGTTCAGCAGTAGTCTGCCTTCTGTTTTTAAAACTCTTCATCAATTACATGCTTTTTCATGTGTTTGTATTGACTTATAAATCATTAACCGTTTTTAAAATGATATTATTGTTCCTATATATTTCTCAGGGAGAAATCTAATCAAAGTCCAGCCATTGAAAGTGGAAGAAGATCAAACATTTTTGTGGACAAACTCAACATCAAAGGATCACCTCTGAAAACCCACAAAAAATAAATTACCATGCATTTGATTCATTTAGTTTTCATTGTTTTAACTGAGAAAGTAATGGTGCTGGGTAATATATGTAAGACCAATCTCTGTTGTTAGATCAGTTCTATACTTTGCAACTTTCTTCTGGTATCTGAATGTTCTTGGAAATTCTAGCTTTATGTTGTTCCTACTCTAGGAATAAAAGTTGATTTTGAACAAAGTGAATAAATTGTGAAACATTCTGTAAAACTCTACTTTAAAACACTAATTTTTAAAGCTAAAATGTTGGTTTTGCTTCCCCAATTTTATATTAGCTATGTATTCTTTTATATTTATCAAGATCAATTGTAGAGCTACTTGTATAATTTACAATTAGTTATAATAAAGCAAAATGTTAAAACAGTATCAGTTTTCACCCACCCTAGATGTTTTGAATAATTTATCTCAAATTTTATGATGTAATATATAGAACAGCTAGCTTAAAGCTCTAAAAATAATAAAGCAAAAACTACCCTACTACTATTTGGTGAGAAATTTTATTTTAAAGAATTTATTTATTTATTTGAAAGGCAAAGTTACAGAGAGGCAGAAGCAGAGAGAGAGAGAGAGAGAGAGATCCTCCATGCACTGGTTCACTCTCCAAATGGCTGCAACAGTTGGAGTTGGGCATTCTGAAGCCAGGAGCCTGTAGCTTCTTCTGGGTCTGTAGATGTCGGGGCCCAAAAACCTGGGCCATCTTCTGCTGCTTTCCAAGGCTCATTATCAGGGAGCTGGATCATCAGTGGAGCATCCAGGACTTGAATCAGTGCCCATATGGGATGCTGGCACTGTAGGCAGTGGCTTTACCAGCAACACCACATCACCGGACCTGAGAAATTATTTTGATAAAGGACAAGAATAATCAAATAGTTCATTTTTCAAAGAAAAATATTGTTAATATATATCTATAATTTCTTTATACAGCATATTATTTTTCTTCTGTATTAAATTCTTAATATTCATCAGACATTATATTGACCTCTTTAACATCTTTTTTTTTTCTTTAAAGATTTATTTATTTATTTGAAAAGTGGAGTTAGAGTGAGAGAGAGAGAAAGAGAGATCTTTCATTTGCTGGTTCACTCTCCAAATGGTCGCAACAGCCAGGTCTGGGCCAGGCTGAAGCCAGGAGCCAAGAGTTTCTTCGAGGGTCTTCCATGTGGTGGCAGGGTCCCAAGCAATCAGGCCACTTTCTGCTGCTTTTCCAGGCACTTAGCAGGGAGCTGGATTGGAAGTGGAGCAGTTGGAATACAAACTGGTACCAATATGGGATACCAGTGAGGCAGGTGCCAGCTTAACCTACTATACCTCAACACCGGCCCCATACTGGTCTCTGATTTCTTAAGGTGTGATGTATTTCTGCTCTCCTTAGCCACAAACAGCTTAACCCACCTCCAAAGTTCTAAAGCTGGAGAATCTTTGGGAAAATGCTGGTTAGCATTTTTTGGGTATGTCATTTAGAAAAATATACATTTGGTATTCTGAAAACCAGAATGATTCAGTCTCAGAATTTGTTAGACAGATATATTTGAGCAAGGTGCTTAATAACTCTTTCGCTTGTGTCTTAATTATACCATTTAAAATTCATTTCTAGCTTTTTCCCCCCCTAGAATTCAAGGATTAATCTTTTATGAAAGTTAGATATTAAGTTTATAAGACATAAAATCTGACGTCTTAAGTCTGTTACTTAAGACAATATTTCTATCAAGGAAAAAAATTCCACTATTCATAATCCGAAGTATTTTCCTTTTTAAGGTTAAAAGTAAAATTTGGGGGCCAGTGTTGTTGCACAGTGGGTAAAGTAATCACCTGCAATGCTGGCATCCCCTATGGGTGGCGGTTCAAGGCCCAGAGGCTCCACTTCTGATCCAACTCCCTACTAATGGCCTGGAAAAGCAGCAGAAGAGGGCCTAAGTTCTTGGGCCCCTGTACCCATGTCAGAGACCCATAAAAAACTCCTGGCTCCTGGCTTAGCCCTGGCTGTTGTGTCCATTTGGGGAGTGAAACAGCAGATAAGAGATTCTCTCTCTCTCTCTCTCTCTCTCTGTGTGTGTGTAATTCTGCCTTTCAAATAAATAAAACGTTAAAAAAAATTATGTGACTATGTTATACTCCTCTAATTTTCTGTATTATATTCCTATTAATTTTACTAATCTGTTTATGCCATTCATCACTAAAATAAGATGCAAATCATTTTTATTTGTTCATGTATTAGTTAAAAATTTTCTTTTATTCATATTCTTATTTTATTGGTATACTATTAAAATACTATAACATCTTGGGAAGTTGTCATAGGCATATATTTTATATATACATAAATTAACTTGATACAAGAGTAAAATCTTAATAGACACTGTCATTATTCTCCTTTTGCCTAAGTCATTATAATAATAACTTGCATAATTATATCCAGATCTAAAAACACAATTTAATAAATAATTGTGTCTACCAGTAAAATTCCTTTATATCACATAGTAGTGAGAATTTATAGATAACTTTTTTCTCACAATTTTTCCCATTGAAATTGAATAAAAACTGAAATAAATACTTATTTCTTCTTATGCCACAAGGCTTTCTTAGGAGACACTTGTAAGATACAAGATATGTGACATATAGAGATTAAGTGTCAGATGATGGAGCCAGCACTGTGGCACTGTAGGTTAATCCTCTGCCTGCTGCACCGGCATCCCATATGGGTGCCGGTTCTAGTCCCAGCAGCTCCTCTTTCAATCCAGCTCTCTGTTATGGCTTGGGAAAGCAGTAGAAGATAGCCCAAGTGCTTGGGCCCCTCACCCCTGTGGGAGACCTGGAGTAAGCTCCTGGCTCCTGACTTCAGATTGGCCCAGCTCTGGCCATTCCTACCATTTGGGAAGTGAACCAATGGATGGAAGACCTTTCTCTCTGTCTTTCCCTCTCACTGTCTGTAACTATGCCTCTCAAATAAGTAAATCTATTTTTAATTAAAAAAAGGAATTTTATTAAGAAAAAAGTATCAGATGGTTCCCTGCCTGTGGCCTGAGTTACATATAATTTTTTCAGTGGTCCTACTTGGGCCTTGAGAAAGGCACAACTAAGGGCAGTTGCTCATAGAAAGAGATAAAGACAACAAATTATGGGTTGTCTAACACATTCACATGGTTTCAACTAAGTGACATAAAGCTTGCTAATAACAATACTTATGCTACAGGAGCATAATTATTTTGTTTTTTCAGAAATGGTTTTTGACTTTGACAACTAAAATTATGTAAACTGATCTTTTTCCTTTCTAACACGTTCCCTTTTTAGTGTTGATTCATTTTTGTGAAATATAAATCATATATTAAATGTAAAATATTTCATAAAAACCATAAAATTACTAAATTTTATTCAGATTAACTTTTGTTTAGAATTTACTTAAATTATAAGCATTGAAGACCAGCTTAAGTTGCTGAAAATAACTGAGGAAGAAGTTTAAAAATAAAGCCATTGCCTCAGTTCTCAGAAATAAGTGTTAACTAATGCCATTGTTTCCTTAATTTGTGGTATGTGATGATTTCCCCTTAAGTTGTATAAATGGAAATATTTGCGGTAGCAAGGGGGAATTACCCTTTCACTCTGCTTTAGTGGAATGAAATGAAATTTTCTTATTCCTGCAGTGATAGATACTGCCTTGAGGCATTAACAGAGGGATATTAACCACCAAAATCTGCCTATTCTGCACATTCTATTTTATACTCTGTGGAAGTTGAATTCTTTAAAATGTAGGTAGGGAACATACTGCAAAAGAATTGATTAGTGCTCCTCAAAACCGTCAAGGCCATGAAACAAAATACTTAGAAGCTGACACAGACCAGAGAAGACCAAGAACACCTCACAGGTGGAGAAAAGAAGGGGCTCTCCCTGCCAGCCAGGGAGTGAAGCAGACATGTTTCTCCCAGCAAGTATGCCTGTTTTGTTTGCTTGTTTCAGCTTTGCCTGTTAGCATTTCCACATGAAAGCCTTCTTTAGTTCCCAGTTTGGAATATATAGAATGCAAAATGTCTAGAACCAGAAGTCTCTTCTCTCAGAGTCTTACCTATTTTAACACTGTTATTAGACATACAAGTATGGAAGTTCAGAATTGATGTATCTTCCTGCTAAATCCTTTAAGTAGGAACTCCCTTTGCATCACTTTTTGTCTCAGATATTTTATCATAATATAGACTTACAGTTTTGTTTCAGCTGATACTTGGCCTGTTACATCTTTCCCATTCTCTCAGTGTCAATATTTTAATGTTCTTTTGAAAATGACTTTGGTAAACAGCATAGAATTGGATTCTTTTTAAAAAACAATCTGAATTGACGGGGCAGGCATTGTGGTGCATTGGGTTAAGCTGCTGCTTAATACCATGCTAGATATGAGATATGTTGGATATGGGATAAGTTGGATATGGGATAGTGTCTGGGATAGAGTCACACTTCTGCTTCCAATCTAGCTTCATGCTAAGGCATGTGGGAGGCATCAGATGATGGCCCAGGTGCTTGAGTTCCTGCTACCCATGTGGGAAATCTAGATGGAGTTTCTGGCTCCTGATTTCAGCCTGGCCAAACCCTGCCTGTTGTGGATATCTGGAGAAGTGAACCACTAGATGGAAGATTCTCTTTTTCTCTTTCTCCCCTTGCCTCCCTCTCTACCCCCGCCCCATCACTCTGCCAAATAAAACTCTAACAATCTAAACTGATGATTTTTGACTTTAACTGGAAAGTTAAAGTTTTCCATGTAAAGTTAACTTTACATGGAAAGTTCATGTATTTATCACTTTTGTAAAAATATACATATTCACATTTATTTCTTATCAATTTACCTTTTTTCTCTCTTTTTGCCTTATTTTAGATCGAATGTCTCCCTTTTTTATTTGATTTCCTTTTTAGTTTATCTGCTTTCAGGTTGTACGGTCTTTAACATATTTTGACATGCATTTCTAACTTACCATAGTTGTTAATAATTTATCTTTACCTTGAGAATACAAGGTAAGATTCCAA